AGGGATAGAGACAGGACCTGAGCCACAGAGACCTGGAGAGGTGGCATAGTCACAGAAGGAACACCCAGGTCTGTTGCAGGGACCCCGAGGTCCCCTGGGAGCTCTTGGGGCCAGGATAGGGGTTTCCCTAGCCAGGGGAGTGGGCTGGTGAAGACTGCAGTGAGGGTATGGTGGGGACTAGCAGGAATGGAGTGGGTCTGGGCCAGCCTAGCAGGTGGGGACCGAGGGCGATGGAGACACTCTCAGTTGGTCCTTGGGCTGCAGCAGCTGGCTCATCCCAGAGGCCCTGATGGAGCAGCCCCTAGTGCAAGAATGGGGACCCTCAAAGGATGTCTCAGAAAGAGCCATGACAGGTACCACTGACTGAGGCCTGTCTTCCAGGGCTGATATCAGTATAACCCACCCCCGCACTCTTTAAAAGCTTTCATAAATTATAATTTTCGATATACTGTACCTTTTTTTTTTTTTTTTTTTCAGATTTGCCTATAGAGCCCAATATATTATTTTAGAACCAAAGCTCTTGGTGGGCTTGTCTTGAAAGTAAGTAGTTGGAGGAAGGTGTACGTTCCCCATCAGGAGCTTGGTGGGTGGGAAAGAAATCAGCATAGCAGAGTAGTGGATGGAGACAGAGGCGGAGGGGATAGATTAACCGAGGACCACATTCCAGGCCTTCGATGCAGTTCTTGACATCAAGAACCTCATTCGGTCTTCACTGCAGCCCTATGAATTGGCTGTTACAATTCTGCTTATAGATGAGGAAAGGAGTGCACCGTCACAGAAGAAACTGGAGGGCAGGCATCCCCTCTTCACCACACCAGAGCCCCGGCAGGGTTGCTGCCCTAAGACAGAGTGTGGAGGGGTTGGGAGAAGGTATGCTGTGAGGCTGGCCTTCTCCCGATGGCTGGGGCGTCCAGGAAGGTGGATGTGCACTCCAAGATTCAGATACTTGAAGTTGCTTTGTCCACGCAGGGTGAGAAGCTGCTGTCTGCTGACTGGGGAGTAGTGGGCTCCCTGTAGCCAGGCTCTGCACGCTAAGCGCCTGCCATGCCCTCACCCCACACCTCAGCCTGCACCGGAGTGGGGAGAGTTAAGCCAAGAGCTCTGTTACTGAGGGATCTTCCATACAACTCCCTTTGCGCAAGGGCTTAGAGGTTCTTATCAGTGGAATGCCTGTTTCAGAAAAGAGAGCTGCTCAAGTTACACTGGCCCTCTGCAGAGCGCGTGTCACCTTGCTGCATGTGTGCAGGCATTTGGCGGTGGGGGTGGGGCGGAGATGAAGTCAGCAGCCCTGGGGATTTGGAGGAGGTTTGCAGCATCTGCGTTTTGGGAAAACAATCTCCCAGCACACCGTCCCACCTGCATCTCCTGGGTGGAAGTGGAGGGAGAAGGAATGGCGTTCTGAGCACAGAAGGTTGACATGGCGTCTGAGCTTAAGTGACAAAAGCAGGAGCAGGGTCACTGGGGCTAGGCAGTAGGCCTGGGCTCAGTCCTGCATTTCTGGGCCCCCTGCCCTGCATCTACTGCCAGTCTCTGGAGATGGCATCTATGGCAGCCTCCATCTGTTGGGACTAAGTCTGTGTTCCCCTTGTGGCCTGAGGTCTGTGTTCTGGTGGATCTGCGTTTCCCCCTAAAAAGATGTACTTATGTCCTAGTCACTCTACCTCTAAACGGGATCGCATTTGGCACCAGGGTCCTTGCAGATGTCATTGGTTAAGCCGAGGTCACACTGGAGTAAGCTGGTCCCCAACCCCATGTGACTAGAATTCTTATAAGAAGGGAGCCGTTGGAGACAGAGCACTGGAAGAAGCCTACTGAAGATGCGGGCAGAGGTAGAGGGTGGCAGCTGCAAGCCAAGGCGGCCAGCAAAGCCTCACAAGCTGGGAGGGGGCCAGGTCAGGTCCCCTGACGCGTTTCAGAGGAGGCATGGCCCTGGCCCCCACTTGGTGTTAAAGTCGGCCCCCAGGCTGGGAGACAGCCCGGTCCTGCCTAAAGTCACCCACCTGCTGGTCCTTTGCCCTGGTCACCCTAGGAATCTAGTGGAGTCTGGGTGCTGGGGGTCCTCCATCCTGCCACCCAGTCCCTTCCTGGGAGAGGACCCTACTGCGGTTTGTGGCCACCATTGCTCCCTGCAGTTGGCCCCTTCTATTTCCAAAGGTCCGTCTTCCAAAACCTGGAAGCACATTTATTTTCCTCAAAACCTTGCGTGGGACTTGGGAACAGGAGCTGCAGCGGAAAGGCAAGGAGAGAGGGGAAGGGATAATTCAGAAAGGTCAGTTCTCTCCAAGAAGCTACGGTCAGATCCTAGGAATGTTGCTGCCTAAGCTTTTGCTGTCTCTTGGTGCTGAGACCCTCGTCCTATTGATCACATTGGTGCCCCTGCCTTCGGTTGACCCCTGCGACGGGGGCATCTGAACGACCTGGATCTGCCCCTTGTTTCTGCCCCCAGAGTCTCCTGTGCCCCAGCCTTCCCACGGAAACCCAGGCCACAGCCAGAGATGGCCTCTTCCCCGGACCTGTGTGGCCCTGCCCCACCCAGGGCCCCTATTTCTTCCCTTGTCCAGACTGAGCACTGGCTGAAGGCTGTGGAGGACGGGGCACAGGAGGGGCCACCGGGATGAGCTGCTCGAGGGAGCCCAGCCCCGGTCCCAGGAGACACAGCCTTATCTTTGGAATGGCGTGGGTCTTTCCATTCCTGGCACACGTTGAGCTGCAGGCTGCTGCCTCTGTGTTTGGGGAAGGGCTCTAGGTCTGTGACTTCATCGTTTCCAGGGGCCGGGAAGTCCAGAGCTGTGCTCCAGTGGCTTGGCTGCAACCCGCAATTACATGGTCTGCTGGAATGGAATCGTTAGCACCCAGATGTGCTGCTGCTGAAATCCCGAGTCCCGCCTCTTGGAGTCCTCTCTTCCCAGCTCTGGCCAGCTCAGCACCAGGCCTTCTGAAGTTTCAGAGCAGTTTCCAGGGTCTGTGTGTGTCAGAGAGAGATGGTGAAAGAGGGAGAAGGATATGAGAGTGACCCAGCGTCCTGTGTCCGCCGTAGTGGGCGCTGCAGGCAGAGGGGAGCACACGTCCCGCTCCCCCAGTGCCATCCAGTGGGGAACGCGGGCAGCGCCGCTGTCGGCTGGCAGGGCTCCCTTGCTCCTCTCCTCCTTGTTCCTGCTGCTTGGCATCTCTGCAGCATTTTTCATGGCTCAGAGCGTGACCAACAGCCACGCAGGTGTGTCCCAGGGCCTGAGCCAGGACAATGCTGTCTTTTGTGGGCTTTGCCCTCAGTGCCACATTGTCGATAGCCCTGGCATTTCTGGCACTGCCGGTGGGGGTGGCTTGGCCCGTGCACCCCTGTGCCCTTCACCCCACTGAGGGGAGGCTGTGCCCGTGTGAAGCACACCTCCCTCTGCAGGTGGGGATGAGGACACCTCAGAGCTCCCTCTTCCCGTCCCCGGGAGAGGAAGGCTCACTACACAGGTGTGCCAGGAAGGCCTCCACTCAGGGGTCTGCAGGAAGGGGCACTGGCACCACGTTGCCCATGGGCACGAGTGGGGTGAGCAGTAGAGTTCTAAATTCCAACCCAGAAAGGTGGCTGGGGCTTCAGCCCATGGGTCAGGAGGCCGCAGGGTTCTGCAGTCTGTGCCCCCACTTTGTCAGGCACTGCCCTGGGTGGTAGTGGGAAAATCCCTATGAAGAACTTGGTCTGGGTGCTCGTCGTGGGGGAGGCATGGGGAGCGGCTGGGAGGTGGGCAGAAGTGCAGCTGCCACCATGACTCCAGACAGAGTTGCTGTGGCAGCTTTAAAAACAGGGTAGTGTGGTGGTGCATGCCTGTAATCCCACCACTGGGAGGCTGAGGCAGGATGATTGCAGGGAATTTGAGACCAGCCTGCACTATACAGTGAGACCCTGTCTCAAAAAAAAATTAATTTAATTAAATTAACTAATGAATACAGAGACCAGATGTGTTGTTTAAATCTTATTAGAAGAAAAGACACCCGGCATGTCTGAGCCCTTATCAACCAGAAGCAGTCTTCGAGTCCCCAGGTTATCCAAGCAAGTCCAGGCAGCCCTTCCTCTGGCCCAGCCATGCCCCTCGTTCACAGCCAGCAGGGGACCCTCGAGAGAGACTCTGGCACCTGCGAGGTTGGGCCTTCAGACTGAGCCAAGGCACCTCCAGGGGGAAGCTGCACTGGTAGAGCAGCCATAGTGGGACCTGCACTTGTGAGCTGAACTTTTTTTTGTTCGTTTGTTTTTGTACCAGGAATTGAACCCAGGGTTTAGCACCCCTGCCTTTTATAAATGTATATATATTTTCAGCCAGGGTCTTGCTAAGTTGGTAAGTTGCCTGGGCTGAGCTCAAATGTTCGAGCCTCTTGCCTCAGCCTCCCAGAGTGCTAGAAGTACAGGCCTGTGCCACTGTGAGCCCATGAGATTGTTGCCGTTTGCCAGCTAGAAGGCTTGTATTGATTCTTCTGTTATCACCCTTTCCTTTTGATCTCATTCCTACCTCCCTCCAGCCAAGGAGGCCCCAGAGGAGCCCTAAGAATGCTGGAAAATACCAGCGTTGTGTCTGTGGGCACCTGACCCACACACTCTCTCTCTGGGCCTCAGTTTCCCCATCTTTAGGGAAGTCCCCAAGGCTGCTTCCAAATCTGGAAATTAAATCTTGGCTTCCATGGAAGTGAACCCAGTAGGCTGTTTCAGATCGGAATCAGCAGAAAAAGCAACTATGAAGAGCCAGATGGCCTGAGAGTGACAAAGTCACTGAGCCCCGGTCCCCTGTGGGCTTACGTGAAATGGTATGGGTGGAGGCAGTTTGCAAAGGCATAAAGCACGTCACTGTCCCCACTGACAGAGGTGACGTCGAGCAGGGCACTGGCCTTGTGCTGCGCCTCCTCCTCCTGTGCTGCTCTCCCCATCTGGAGTGGACCGAGATCTCCTCCACTGAGACCCTGGGAGGGCAGCAGCAGGAATCCTGCCAGGCCCTGACACCCCTGCGGTTCTTTCCCTCCAGACTGCAAGTTCACCTGTCACCCAGAGTGCCGCAGCCTCATCCAGCTGGACTGTAGTCGGCAAGAGGGCCTGGCGCGGGACAGACCCTCCCGGGAGAACATCCTCACCCCGACGTTCAGCCAGGTAGGCAGCAGGCCGGCTGGGGCAGCCCCTGCAGGTACTGGGCTCTGCTTGCTCTCCCAGGAGCTCCCTGTGTGCTGGATGTGGGGTCCACTTCTGCCCCCTTTCCAAGGGGTCTGGGGCAGGCAAGGCGGGGTCTTCATATACTCAGTGGTACCTGTGGTGGTCCCCAAGCATGGAGTTTGATCCTGAAGTGGGGGTGGGTAGGGGCAGAGTGGGTCCCAGAAAAGCTTCCAGAAGGTTCCTAGAGTCCTGGACCCATGGGGATGATGTGGCCAAAGCTTCCCGTACCAACTGGCCTTCAGACTAGGGAGCATTGCAAAACTTCAGGGTGTCCTGGCTGCCCTCAGCTAGCCAGGAGCCAGGACAACCTTTAGCGGGGTTGTGCCAGTGTTTCTTCTTTGTGTCAAAGGACCGGGAAGTTAGGTGTCTGGATGGCACCTGCTTATAATCCCAGCTACTCAGAAGAAGGCTGAGGCAGGAGAAGTGCAAATTCCAGGCTAGCCAGGGCAACTTAGCAAGACTACCTCAAAATACAAGTTCTTTTAAAAAGGCTGTAGATGTAGCTTAGCAGTTGAGTACCAAGCATGCAGGAGGTCCTGATTCCATCTCTAGTACTGGAGGCCAGGGGGAAAGGTGGTGGGGAAGACCAGGAAGTCAATGTTCAAAACAGCTCTTGCTCCTGGGATTTGCCAAGATGCTTGAGATACAGTGTGTTCAGACTTGGATACCTAGGACTTGGAATGGAGACAGAGGAGGGCATTTACTGATCCCTGTACTAAAAAAGCAGTAGTGACAATCTATTATGTGCCAAGGGCTGATGGGATTGGGGGTAATACATGATACATCACGATGATCCTCAGAGAGTTTACATTCAGGCAGGGGATGCCAAGCACAACCAAAGAGTAGATCCTGTAACACATACTCAGTGAAAATCTGAGCCAAGTGTTTTGGGTATACCTGCAGTTGTTTCTGCTGGGAGAAGTCAGGAAGGCTTCCCAGAGGAAGTAAGGTTTGGTGAGCACCTTCATCTATGAGTTGAAGATTGCTGGTCAGGAAGTAAGGTGTGTTCCAGGATGTATCCATTTATTCATTTAACAGATATGCTTTGAGTGTTTACCATGTGCCAGGTCCAGGAATGCTGAAGACCTAGTGACAAAGGGAAGAGACTTGGCCCCTGCTCATCCTGTGCTGGGGGGCGGGGGAGGGAATTTTAAATAAGCTCTGAGTCTAAGAAGGAAAAGCCCAGCATGCTATAAGACAGTAAAGGGGACTGTTGTGCTTTGAGGTTTTGGCAAGAGGAACAATATAGGACACCTATTTTATAAGATTATTTATAATAGTCACCCAAAGAATCATATACAAGACAGTGCAAGAAATCTGTCCATACACTAAAGACCAAAGAATCCAGCTGAGGGCCTGGATTCCACAGCAATGTCCTGCATGAGTTCAGCTGAAGACCTAGAGGCCATAACAGTGCTGCCCGGGAGTCCAGCTGGAGTCCTAGTGCCCATGACAATGTCTCATGCAGGCCTGTTTCATGGATCTATGCTGGGAAGGCCCAAAGGTCAGTGGTGGAAGCTAGAAAAGTCTGCACCTGTGGGATGAAGGATCTGTGCTGGCAGGCTGAGAAATCTGCACTGGAGCCAGGAAGCAATACTCAAAGTAAGAACCAGAGCTCCACTGAAAAGTACCACAGCCATCCTGAGCAACAGTGAGGTCCCAAGCTCCTACAATCATGAGAACAGCCAAGTTCCATCAGGAAAGCCAACATGACAAGCTTCTACAGGAGACTGAGCAGTGCACCATCTTCCCCTCCAGAGCCAAGAATCGATGCTCAAAGTGAGGACCAGAGCTCCCCCAAAGTGAACCAAAGCCATTCTCAGGGACAACAAGGTCCTGAGTTCCTTGGATGATAACAGCCGAGTTCATCAGGAAATCCAGCATGACAGTGTCCTCCAAGAGAATGAACAGCTCCTTACAGCTTCTAACAGCTCCCAGCAGCTGCTGTTAGCTCCCAACAGCCTCTACCAGCTCCAACAGCCTCTCCTTCTCCAGTTCTGCCTGTTATGCTGCTGGCGACAACCCTTATGTGGGCCTCCCACACCTAGTAGCATGCTGGTTCAGTTCAGCTGGGTGTTGTTATAAGTTGACCACCAGCTGTCAATCCACCACAGGACCTAGACATTATGGGGGGCTTACAGGCAGCCCCAAGTCCCCAGAATGGACGTCTATGTACTTTTTCTGGCCACATTGCCTATGATGAAAAGTGTTCAAAGGCCCCATCTGCTTGGGCATCACGGGCTCCCTGCTGTTCCCTGGGGTCTGCGTCTCTCACCAGAACAGTGTTATCAAAAGCAAGTGTGACAGACACTTTTATGAGGATGGTCCTGAATTGGTCCTGAATCATTATTTACAAACTCAGTAATCCACCCAAACTTGGAAGTAGTGGCCCGGTGTGTCCTGAATGAATCTCCTGTGGAGCAGGCTGGGCCCTTAACTGGAATCTGTCTGCCCTGGTGAGAGTGGGGCCGAGGGCGCAGCAGACGTACAAAGCACCAGTGCGCAGTGCAGACTGCGGTTGCTGTTGCAGGGCTGGGGTTGAACCCAGGGCCTCCCGCGTGCTGTGTAAGTGCTCTACCGCAGAGCTGCAGAGATGCAGACTTTTGATGGTTTTCCTTAGAAGAGGAAGGTTACACAGCATAACATTCCCAAAAGCGTCAACTCTTTCTTTTCCCAATTTTTTATTCTCGTGGGAGCTTCCGAGATTCTCTTCTTTCTTCCCCTCTAAACCCTGTCCATCCCCCATGCCAGAATAAGCTTCCCAACCCCTGCTTCCTAGATTTCGTTTTTGAGTCTCTCTAGTGCTTCCCTTAGAATAGCTGGAATCAAAGGGAGTGATTTAGCCAGGCGAGGTGGTATGAGCCTGTGATCCTGACGCTGAGAGGCTGACGCGGGAGGATGGCAAGTTGAAGTCCAGCCTGGGCAGCTTAGTGAGACCCTGTCTCAAAATAAAGAATAAAACAGAGCTGGGAAGGTAGGTGAGTGTGAAGGCCCTGGGTTCCATCCCCAGGACTGAAAAAGGCAGGGATGGGGTATGACCTGCCCTCCTCACCCTGCAATATTTGACAGTGTCTAGAGACGTTCTTGGTTGTTACAGTTTGAGATATCCTAGTCGCCTCTAGTGAGCAGAGGATGCTGCCATGTACCCGGCAATACACAGGGCAGTTGCCCACGACAAGGAGATGCGTGGCCCCAAATGTCAATTGTGCAGAGGCTGAGGAGCCTGCCCTGGCATGGCTCAGCCAGCTCCTGGGTATGGTGGGCAGGAGACCCAGGGAGAGCCTGGAATCTGTTATCTACAACATCTCATCCTTAAAATGCCAGCATTGGAGAGGAGCTCCTGAGTGGAGGATTTGGAAATGGAGCAACCACCTGTCCAGGATGGGAGACAGGAGGTGAGGCAGCCTGCAAACACCCTGGCAAACTACACTGGGGCTGCCCCTGAGGAGGAGATGTGGCTGAGATGCTGCCGAGGAAGGGGCAGGGTTCCGCGTGGTGTGGCGCCGCCCCTGTCTGCTGTTTGCACACGGGTAGCAGGAGTGCTCAGGCCGGCTGGGCAGGCTGCTGTGTTTGCCTTGGACAGGCCACTGAGCGGCGGCGACCTGGGCTTCAGCAGAGCAGGTCAGGACCCGGCCTCTGTCAACACAGCTGGGGCCTGTTCCAGAGTCCTTTGCCTTCACTGAAAAGCTCTTGGTACTGATTTCTGCCCAGGCTTGACTTCTGTTGAGTATCAAGATAGCGCTTTTTTCACCTGGAGGTCCTCACCACGCGGGGTCAGCCTCAAGGACTGCTGCTGTCTTCCTGGGGACTTATGTGGCAAGGGCCTGGGCCCAGAGCTCAGCTACTTTGGGGCATGTGTGCATGGGGCTGTTAGAGGATGTTGCATCTCGGCAGCATTTCTCCTCTCTGCTCTTCAAGGGAAAGAAAATCATTGATTTTCTTCCATCCAGACAGAGCCAGTCTTTGTTGGCATTTGTATATGTCCTTCCTGTACATTCATACATTTTTCAAAACGTAGCTGAGATCATCCTGCAGATAAGTATTTAGCCTCAGCCTTTTAAAAGCAATAATCACAGTGCTGTCTCCCTCTGCCGGGGTGGGGGAGGGGGAAGAAGGACGGGCCTAGGAGGGGAGGGACAGCTCAAAGCCCAGGCTACAAGCTCGTAGACCCTGGGGTCAGCCTGTCTCCTGCAAGCGTCAGAAACACATGCGCTGGTAGCTGCCTGTGCTTCTGCCAACCACAAACAGTGTTCTCACAGCCTCTCGCTGGAGATCCTGAAGTCTATGATACCCACACTGTGACCAAAAAGATCTTCTGCAGGTGGACCCAGAGCTCTTCAGTCTTAGCCAATTTCCTAAAGAACATCACTACTGGGGCTGGGGATTTAGCTCAGCGGCACAGGGCCTGCCTGGCAAGCACAAGGTTGTGAGTTCGATTCCTGGTACCAGAAGAAAAACAAAAAAACCCAAAAAACAAGAACATCATTACTATTGGTTACAGACCCCGAGGACTGCCAAAACAGCTATGTGGGGGTGCGCCCTGATCTGAAAGAATTTACATTTTTCATAGTTTAAAAAGTACTCTGATCAGCTGAGCACGGTGGTGCACACCTGTAATCTCAGCCCTCCAGGAGACTGCTGCAGGAGCATCACAAGTTCAACCCCAGTCTGGGCAACTTAGTGACTTAGCAAAATAAAAAAGCGCTGGGGATGCAGCTCAGTGTGAAGGCTTGATGCTAAAACAAATAACCAAACAAACAAATAGTGCTCACATCAGCTGGGCATGGTGCCACACTCCTGTAATCCCAGCTACTTTGGAGGATAAGGCAGGAAGATCACAAGTTTGAGGCCAGTTGGGCCACTTATTGAGACCCTTTTCTGAAAATAAAAAAAGAGTAGGGATGTAGCTTGGTGGTAGAGCACTTACTTAGCATGCACTA